GGCATGCCTGTAATCCCAGCTCTTGGGAGGCTGTAAACAGGCAAATCACTAGGAGTCCGAGTCCGAACTAGTAGTGAGACCCTGAACACCCTGTAGACCCTTTCCTAAAACACAAAATAAATAAATAATAAAAAATAAAGAATGAGGTACTACAACATCAAATCTCAAATGAAACTTACATTGGGAGGTAAAGGCTTACAGAAGCCACTGCACTCAAGAGTAGAAAAAGGACAATCTAGATGGCTGTGTGATGGCTCAGTAGCTGTTTTGCACCTTAGTAGCAGTTCTAACCCGGGATGCTTATGCTACTTTAGAATTAATAGTTTACATTAAACTGATCTGAGAAAGGCATTTCACTCTCTCTCTCCTAGGAGTGAAGTGCAGCCAGTGGTCCGAAGAGGCTTCGATGGTGTTTCGAAATCATGTGGAGAAGAAACCTCTGGTGGCACTGATACAAGAAGTTATTGAAAATCCTAACCCTTGGGACCGAAAAGTAGTGGTCTATCTGGTGGACACATCGCTGCCAGACACTGATACCTGGATTCATGACTTCATGTCACAGTATCCATTAGAGTCTTCAAAAGCTAATTATTGCTTCTGAGACCTCCACCACTAATTCAGACTTATTTAAGCAATAACAAATGCAGTAGGCTTTAAAACATCTCATTTCTGCTAGATGGCTCTGACTGTTGTGGGACATTGAACATGCCAGTGTTTAATGAGAAATAGTTAACAAGTTTTGTTTTGACAGAGTTGGCTTTTCAAAGAAAATTGTACTTGAATTATTACTATACTATTAGAATAAAAAAAGTTTATCAATATAAAAACTGGCTTTGTGTAATGAAGACATTATAATCTTAAGACGAAAGTTTCCTTCTCTATTGATGTTGTCTTCCTTGCAGTGCTGCATTGTTTTCCAGTTAAATTGAGAATTTTATGACTTAAGTCCACCCTTGTATGGTGGTTATATCCCCAGGCAGGTGATCCCCAAAGCATGTGATGACTTACCTGGAGTCTTTAGCACCTCAGCATTCCCACAAGAGTGGGCCAGGAAAATTACCATGCCCCTCACTCCAAGTGTGGAGGGCTTCTCATGGCCCAGAATGTCTAGACCCTAGAGCCAGGCTGTCCATAATCCTCCTACCCAGCCTTGTCCACGGCATCCTGATGTAGCCACCCCTGACCTTTGGCTTACCCCCCCCCCCCCCATGCTCATCCAGGACTGCTGATACCCTGCAACAGTGCCTGCTGCCCTTTAACTGTGCATACCCCAGTCCCTCGGCCAGCCTGCAGCTCATTCTTCCCACCATCTTTCGTCAGTGCCCTGTCTCACCTGGGCTGACAACAAAGCTTTCTCTGGCGCCCCTTTCTACTCTGTTTCACTTTGTGCCCCTCCCTCTGGATGCCTGTGTCTCAGCGAACTTTGTGGTACACAACTAGCAGTCTGTGTACCAACCACACTAACTAGATTATGAGCCCTTGAGGAGTGACAAGTCTCAGTCACTTCCTTGTCTATGCTAAATTGGTAAATGCTTACAAACCAGTTCCAATAGGAGCAGGGAGGTAAGCCTTGATTTGTACTGCTTGACAGTTTGCATGCTGTTCACACTCCCCCCATTGTTTTCTAGCTAACAAGGAAGATATGGAGATAGATACAGATACATAGAAGTGGGGGTCAAGTCAAGCCTGAAGGTTCAAGCAGATTATTCTTACAGTTTGAGAAGAAGGTTAAAAATCTAATTTTGAACACATTAACTTGAGCTAGTAGACTTTCTAATAGATGCAAGCTGTTAGAAATACAGAGTGCACTTGAGAAAGCCAGGCTGAAGATGAGCTTGAAGTTATTTGTTTTTATTTGAGAAAAAACAGAAATAGTAAAAGACCAGATGTTCTAAGGTTTTCATTTTAAGCACATAGAAATTATCACTAGCTTTAAAATTTTTACATTGAATATATTTTAACTGAAAAGAATACCTGTAACAGGGATGAAAATGATCATGATAAAAAAGGATACTGTAAGTGTTTCAGTCATGTAAATACCAAGTAAAAAGTAGGACATGTTTTAATCAAAATAGCATACAGCATCAAAAGCAAAAATCCTCAAGTTATGTACAAGTAAAGACAAAGTGGTTCTATTTCATTGACTACAAATGGCTTCTGTTACTTTTTAAAATTATATTTGTTGATGTAACTGTAAAATTAATCTGATGCTGGGACAGTTTGGCAAACAAATGAGCTTAGCCCCTACTTCATCCCACATTCCCAAGTCAGTCCTAGGTTGACTGGAAACCTCAGTGTGAAAGGTAAGGTCAGAAGACACATAAATATACCTTGATGAACCAGGGCTAGGAAACAGGACGCAGAGTACTGCTGATAAAACGATGGTAGACTGTTAAAACTAAAACATCAGGCCATCGAAAGATATTAAGAAGGACAAAGCACAAAGTGGAAGGGTAGAGTGAGTTTACGTATACTGTGGTGCCTCAGTTTATGAACTTAACTCTGCAAGATTCTGGTTACAAGCAGAGTACAGCAAGAACAGAATCAAATTCAGTGGTTAGGTTCAGTGTTGACATGAGGGGAAAAGCTGACTTGGTTCTCATCCAGTTCAGTTTGTGACCAGAATCATGGCAAGACGTTCATGAACTGAGCCCTCCACCCACCCACTGAGTATAAATAAAAGACTTTCCAGAAGGAAAGCAGGCAATAATTTGAACAGCCTCTTCATAAAAGAAATCTAACCAGCCAAATAAACATAACTGAGTACCAGCAGTCTGTGGGGACCGCTATGTGGCACTCCAGTGTGTTACCATGCTCATGTGCCAAATGGCTATTGGTGCTAAAGGTGTATAACTGCTGTGTAAAATAGTAGTGTGCAGAGCCTTTGGAGACGATGGGGCCAAGAATATGGCTCAGCAGTGCAGTACCTACCTGGCAAGTACAAGGTTTTGAGTTCAATTCCCAGTACTCCTCCCCCCCTACAAAACAAAACTTTTGGAGGCAGGCATTCTCCACAAGTGTGTGCGCGTGGCGGACTCGGAGAGAATGTTCACAGCAGCACTGTTTGTAATAAGCATCCTGGGCTGGAGAGATGGCTCAGCAGACTAAGCGCCTGCTTAGGCAAGCTCAGGGACCAGGATTCAATCCTCATGCCACACCACCCCGCCCCTGGGCAAGCGGAGCCGGCCACTGAGACCATGTGTGGTGACGCGTACCTGGAATGCCAGTGCTGGGGAGGCTGAAAACAGGATCACTGTGAGTCCAAGCTACGTAGTGAGACCCTATACCAAAAACATAAGAAAGAAAATATAATAAGCAACCTGAATGTCCACCAATAGTAAAATGGACTTTAAAAATCTGTGGCATAGTCATGTAGCAGAAAATAGCCACCCTCCCACCCCAGCCAGTGTATGTCAGTTTGTTAGTTGCCCAGGTTCCTGTTCCAGTTCCGGGTGCTCCCGTCTCTTAGAAATGGCTGGCCACTGCTATGCGTAGCTGGCCACTATGATGCACATTGTATAAACCAGTCCCCAATTGACAAAGCCATTCCGCCTCTGCACTTCTTGCTCACGTATCCCATATAAACCCCAGGCCACCGAGATCAGGGTCTGATCTCTGGGAATGATCCCGTTCAGTGCCCATCAAATGAATCTGCCTCCAGATCCTGGGTGTCATGTTGCTGTTTGCTTACTGTTGTAGTCATAGGATGGAAAACATTACAGGTGCATGAAACATCACATAATCTCATAACAAGTTGAGTGAATGAAGACAAAACACAGACAAACAATAAAGCAAGGATGTGATTACCAAAAGGGTCCAGAAAACGTCTGTGGGAGGGAGCTGTGACCCAGGGAGACAGGTTGGCTTCTGAGCTGCTGACTATTCCCTGACCGATGGTTGACTTGCAAAGATGTTCACATTGTCAAAATCCAGGAAGCTTGATGCATTTTTTGCATTTACATATTTGAGACCGTAATGAATGTGTTTGCAAATAGTCTTAAATATTAAATCACCGCTTTTATTGAAAAATGTATGGCAGAGCCGGGTCTGGTGACACACACCTGTAATACCAGCACTAAGGAGACTGAGGCAGGAGGATTGCCTCAAGTTTGAGGTCAGCCTGGGCTACGTAGTGAGTTCAAGGCCAGTCTGAATTTCATAGCAAAACTCTGTCCCAAAAAATAATAGGGAAAGGTATAATGCCTCTTGAAAAGTGCACTCATAAAAAGCTTTGTGAAAAATGGTTTTAAAATAATCGTTTCTGTTATATACAGTACAGGAATTAAAAATTGATTTTTATTAGGGTCTCCCCCATCCAAAACTTTCCTATAAAACTCCAAATTGAGACATTTTCCTATGACTACAAATTTCCTTTGCATGAGCCATTTATTAAAACAATTATAATTTCTGTTTGAGGGATTTGTTCTGGAAAACATTAGCCTTTTAAGAAAGTGGAGCTTTTTTGTTGTGGTTATTTTAAGTCCTTGGACACTCCATTATCTCAGTATGGTGTAGAGAGAATGCGTTTGACTCTGCTGGAATTACGTGTTTACCAAGTGATGTTACAGTATTAAAGCTTGGGCTCCTGCCAGACCCCGCCGGGCTGCTGGGAAGATGAGATACAGCGCTGCTTCAAAGGAGGTGAAGGTGCAGCCGCTCCTTGGCTGGCTTTACTCCTTCGCTACTGAGGACCTCCGAAAACTTCTAGGCCCCTCACGAATAAAACACTGCCTGCCCTTTCCAGATAGCTCTAAATCCTCAAGCTCTTCCTGGGATTAGCGGAGAAGCAAAGCGAGTCAGCAGACGATGCTCCTGCACCTGGGACGAGGCTGACTGCCCTGGCCGGCCCCAGGCCCGCGCTGCCCCAAGCGATGTCGCCCCTAGACCGGGGACCGCGCGGCGCCCCCAAGTGGACAGGGAGGGCAGAGGGAGCGGCGGGGCTGGGCGGGGCGGGGCGGGGCGGGGAGCAGTGACAGCGGAGCCGCCCGCCCCTGGCTCCCGCCGCGCAGCCCACAGCGCCCGCCCGCGGGCCGCCCCGAGCTAGTCCAGCCCCGCTCCGCTCCTCGCCCATCTCCCGCGCTCTGCCCGCCGCCCACCGCGCCGGCCTCCGCTCTGCGCCCGGGTAAGCCCTTCGCCGTCCTGGGGTCCCCCTCGGGCTCGCGGGGCTCCCTGCCCCCGCACTTGGGCCCCAGCCATATCTGGGCAAAATATTCAGCTGTCGCCACCGCCGCTGAGAGGGACTGAGTGTGGCTCCCTCTATAAATAGCTGCCGCCTCGGGCTGCCTCCGGCTGGGGAGCCCGAATGTCGTGGTTGTCGGGCTTGGACCTTCGCGTCGCCGCTGTCAACGCAGGGGTACCGCGGGCGCTCGGCTGGGACAGGTGCCACACGCGCCGGGTCCCCGGGCGCAGCCTCCTCCGCTCGCGGAGAGTCAGATTTCCCTAATTGAAGCCGGGAATGGGGCGTCGGTGCTGGCGGGACCAGAGTGGGGTTTGCGCCGCGCCCGCCAGGGACAGGAAAAGTTTCCCAACTGCGGGAGACACCGGGGCTTAGAGTACCGCTGCTTGAGCGGGTGCGGCCGGGTGCAGCAAATCAGAGAGCCCGGAGGCAGGAGCCGACTCGGGGTAGTCAACTCGTGGGATGGCGCTAGCAAACCTCCTCCCAGCTCCGAACCTTGGTTTCCCTGTTTGTAGGACGAGGTTGGGTTCCTTGAAAGGGGCTAGGGTCCCTGGCAGTGGGAACAGCGGGGCGCGCTGTTCGCCGGCTTCGGGCCTAGACTCGCAGCGCACAGCAGGAGGAGCGGCGGAGTCTGAGACTGCCCAGCTTCCCCACCTACTATCGCAACCTGGAACCACTAAGGCCCTTGGGCTGTGCACTCTCAGAAAGTGCGTCCCTGCGCAGCTCAGGGGCATCATTGCTTGGTCACCATCACTGCTTTAGCAAAACAGCAAGTGATCCACACAGCCTGAGATCCTCTAGACAGATGGGGCCTGGGGTTCCAGACCAGGTTTCCTAGCTCAGTTTCCCCTCCTGGGTGGCCTTCCTCCATCCACACCTACCCTGGCCATTACTGACCCCACTGCAGGGCTCACTCTCAGGCGCCCTGTGAGACTCTTGAAGGCCACCTGGCCCAAGTTCTTCCATGTCCCACTGGAAGAGCCAGACTGAACCCAGGTGCTGGGCCCTGAGTGCCCAGACAAACCCATCTGTCTGCGCATATGAGTGCCATCTTGTCCATGAAGCACCTTAGAGCACCCTGCTCAAGATCACAAGCTGGACACGAGGTCTGCAGTCTCAACCACTTTTCCTAGTTTTCTCTGGCCCCTCCCTCTGTAGGGCAGGTTTTGGGGCTGTCTAAGCAACTCACTGGTTCCCCTTTGGTGATCTGCTGCTGTCCAGGACTTTCCTTTGCAATAGTGCCCTCATCCTAGTTTCCAGATTTGTTTCTACTCTTTTTTAATACATATTCTCCAAAGCCATCTCAAAGCCTCACACATAAAAGAACTAAGGGAAAATGATGCTGAATAGTCAGATTTCCCTAATTCAAGCCACAAACGGACAGGCAGAGTCACTCTGGTGTATTATTTCTAATGAGCTGGTCTTACAAACCCTTGGTTTAGTCACTGGTCCTTTGGTTCCTGCCCCACCTAAGTGGAAAGCTACTGTCCTCTATAAATAGCCTCCACCCCACCTTATCAGTGTCTCACACCTTCTCCCTACTCCTGGGCAGGGTAGATTTCTTGCAGCTCAGCTCAGCAAAAACAGAAAACAGAGGGGTAGTGGCACCCCTGAGTAATGGAAGGTACTGGAGGTGGCCTGGTCATTGGGATCCTGGCTGCTGCCCACCTAGAGTGTCCTTGAGGAAGGAGGGGCTAGGCAAGATGACCCCTAGTGAAGCTTGAGTCAGAAGCTCCCTTGTTATACCTTCTGGCATGAAGAAAAAAACATGCCAGGGATGTAATTTGGGTCATCCACCCATGAAGAGAGGGTGGGGAAAAGAGTGGGAGAAAGTGGCTTCCCAGGAACCAAGAAGGAAAGAAGTGGGCAGTGAGAGTTGCTGCAGAAGAGGGTACAGGAACTGGGAAGGGGCCATAAGAATTGGCAAGGGGGTATGGGTGACTTTGGCCAGGGCATGGCAGAGGATTTAAAAATAGGATCTGTCAGTGACTCAGCCTTTCTAAGCCTCAGTTTCCTCCTCTTTATAATGGAGCTAACGATAGCACCCACTTCCTATGGGCAACTGTGGGAATTAAGTGAAATGATGCTGGGAAAGCCCTCAGTGCTGAGCCTAGTACCTGGGGACAGTATTTTTAGTTTTAGTGAGAGGTAGGGGCAGAGGCAGGAGCACCAGGGAGCTGAAATGGCCCTCAGCTCTTTCCAAAAACTTAAATAAGAAAGGAAGAGAGAGGAAAGAGAGAAGCTGGGGGCAGGCCCAGAGGGGAAGCAGGTGCTTTGGGGTGTAATGAAAGGGAAGCAAGAACCTAATAGAGGCCAAGAACATTGGAAGACAATTTAAAGGGCTGTCCCAGATTGCCTTCCTTAGTGAGGGGCCAAATGTCACAAGCTCTGTAGGCAGTCTTTATCCCTTGGGACCAAGATGAGCAAAAAGAGAAAATGAAACAGGTCCTGGCTTGGGTCTCTGTGTCCCCAGGCAGACTTTGGCATATGTGAAGGAGGACAGTGTTGGTCCATGCAGGTATGTTGAGGCCTCATGACCTTGGCTTGTTGTTTCTGAAGTGACATCATCTACTGATGACTCCTCCTGAGGCCAGGTATAATGGCCTTTTCCAGTCAATGTTTTGATTTTGCAGTCTTACTAATAGACCAGTCAGGCTGCCAACACTTCTAGAAGCCAGTTCAATTTCCCCTTATGGCAGAACAACAAACAGATCAATTATTTGGCCACTAAGAGCCATTGTCAGTCGAAAGCCACAAGACAGTCCTGCTTCTGCGGCACAACACAGTTTAACACAACTCTGGAGCCATTTCCTTTTGTTTGGTAAAATCTTCTTGGTTAATTATGATAGGACCTGATTTGCTTTGCTCTTAATGATAATGAAAGAATGAGCTCATTGGAGTCAACCCAGGACACAGTCTGGAAAGATTTCTTGGCATTAGGAGGACCAAGGTTCTTGTCTGGTCTGAAAAACTAAACAAACTCAAGCATTTTTCTCTTATATTATTTTGCCTAAGAGCTGGACATTACCTGACCCCAAGAGGAACATGGGAGGGAGAAGAGGATAAGCCATATGCCTGTCCCCAGCCCTAGCTACCCTTCACTCTGGGGTTCATGAAGTGATGCCCCCAAGGCTGTCCCTGGATGAGCCTATGATGCGTAATGGTTATCTGTGAGTGCTGGACATTTGCTCATGTGGCCCGCGGAACCCAGGTAAACAGAAATGTGTCTTCACCTCACTCAGCTTTCTTCATGGACTTGTCTTTCTACCAGGCCCTTCAATGCTGGTGCCACATCTCATCCTGTTTTCCTCCTACCACACAACTTGCCCTAACCTCAGTCGCCTCAGTGCCCCCAGCTATTCCTCATCTCTCAAGTTCTTGTGTCCCACCTGACTGCTCTTCGCAGCTCCTGGCATCTGTGATGCCTACCTATTGGACAAAGCCAAAGGATTTCCCAAAGGTGCTCCAAACCCACCAGGCCCAAGCTCAGGCTCTTCTCCCAGTTGCCCTCTTGTATTCCCAGCTTGGTTAACAGTGACCCACCCACACAGGCACTGAGTCACAAGCCTCTCCTTCTCTTCTCCCATCATGCAGTCACCTAGGGCTGACAGTTCTACCTTGCTGTCCCTCATGTCCCTCATGTCAATTTCTGTCCCTATATCTACCTCTCCAAGTGAGGAATTTGTTATCTGGCAAGTGTCAGAGCCTTTTCAAAATTCTCTGCATGCTGCTAGTAAAAGATCTTTGCAAAGCAGGGCTGTAACTGTGCTAGTTCTTCCTTTCAGGGACTCCTCATTTCCTAACCAGAAAAAGACCAGATTTCTTAGCATCAAGCAAGATTGGAACCCAAGCTACTTCTCTGAAATGGTCTCCAGGCCCTCCCCTAAGTTCTTCTTGCCCTAGCATGGCATGTCTTTGTGCCTCCCTGTCTTTCTGCTGCTGTTCCCCTGCCTGGAGCACTCTTCTGCCCCTTCTCAGACCAGGAACTTAGGACTGTGCCTTACAGCCAGGCTCCTTAGGGTCTCATCTCTATTCCCCCAGAACCTGGCTCTGCCAGCTGAGTGCCAGCCACACTGTATTCTAACTGGAACTGTCTGTTGTCATTGCCACTATTGGTAAACTGAAAGTTCCTTGAGGGCAAGATGATGGCTCCTTCCCTTGCGCCTCTTCAGTTTCCAGCTCACAGTGCAATTCTTAACATGGTGCAAGTACCCTAGGTTTTAATGGCTGGCTGGCCACAGAGTGAGTAAATGCATAAAGAGGAAACCAGTGAAGGGTCTCTGTGAACTAGCACAGGCACACAAGACCAATCAGCGCAACAGCAGCGAAATTTTCCCAATCCCCAGACCTCGTCTTGTTCTGTTCCCTGCCACCTCAGCAGCCTCTGTTGGCCGTCACAATCAACAGTGAGCTAGCTGATCTGGGAGCTCATCCGAAGCTCACAGTAATCCTGTGCGGGAGAACCAGCAGGTATTATGCGCTCCTTTTTGTAATTGGACGATGGACGGCTGTGGGAATTGCTCTCAATCATCCAGTTGGGGTGCATATTCCAGAAAACTGAAGTGCTCTCCAGGGCTTGATAAGCTTGAGCGATGAGAGGCCTCTGGTTCTATGTCAGTGCTTCTCTACTGTGTGTTTCAGTCACTTCGGATTTTTTGAGACAGGGCTTCCCTAGGCTGTCCAGGCTGGCCCTGAGCTCACTTTGTTGGTCTCAAACTTGCAATGAGTCTCCTCCCTCAGCCTCCCAAGTGCTGGGATTACAGATGTGCACCACCAAGCCTAGCAGGATCTTTTAAATGCGGGTTCTGTTGCACTAGGAGTCAGATGAGGCTGAGAGTCTGAATTGCTAGTGAGTCCCCTTGTTTCTGATAAGCCTAATAATTCCGAATAGGCTCTAATAAACACGAGGCACTTCTTCTTCTATTTGTACGTGTTTCCAGTACCTA